CTGGCGGCTTATGTCGCAGCACATTTCAGTTCTTGTTTTTGTTTTTTGTATGCGGGATTTGTAACGTGTTATTATGGTGCATAAAATATTGAGATTTGTTGGACAATTTATTGGCCGCTCAACCGCACGCAGAGTTGCATAACTGCGACAGCGGAAAGGGTGAAGAGATTTGTACAGGGAAAAAGTGACAGTGGGATGATAAAAAGAGGTAGTACCCTTATAAGAGAGACAACAGCAGAGAAAATGGAGTGCCATAAATATTCGTGTAAGTGTTGGCAGCGGATTTTTAATTAGAATGCCAAAAACTTAATTACCTTTGCTTGGCATTTTAACGATTTGCAGAAAGTATGCAAGTAGGGCGAAAAGTTCAACGGAAATAAGAGAGTTAAAGCAGAAATACAAATAAGTATTGGGATTTTAAGAACAGAGAATATTCAAGAGGAAAGTAGGTGAAATGAAATGTAAAAATTATTTGACTCGGCCTGATGAAAAAAAGGAAAAGAGGAATAAACAATTTTGTTTTAAATTCTTCAGTAGGAGTTGATCCAATATATGGGCATGAAACGTAGGCAATTTTTTAAGGTACTAAAACATTATCTTACAAGATAAAAAGTTTATTTAGACCAAGGACAATAACACGTAAGGGAGTCACCCTACCCGAAACCATGTTTGGTGTAAAACGGCTCGGAGAGGTAGGGATAAAACGATACCATGGAAGTATCGATATCCAGCTCGTACGTGCATACATACACAGAGTATGAAAATATGGGGAGGTATGCCGCGGAATTGGTATACAGTCACAAGTGCGCCAACACAGGATGATACTCCTGCACATTTACCGATTGGCATCAGAGTATATTCATCGTTACTAGTAACCACAGATACCAGTCACAGTCTTTTAGAACCCCAATCACCACCATTATCGCCATGCTGTTAGCTTTATCTCTCCCTTCTCTACAATCTAATGTCAATGGGATATAGCCGTTCCTCTGGGCATGCAGTTCAATGAAATTTGGCACACGGATAGGTTATACACTATAGATACAGGTGGCAGGGCTGTCGTTTTGCGTGGCGCAATAAAGCTAAGCGGGGTGGGCTTTAAGTTCACCTCGAGCTATGGGCACTCCAGTATTGTAAAAGCTTCGGATTCCTATCGACCCTGCTAGACCACTGCACGCCGGTTCTGGACCCTTCGCTATCCACATTCCAGGGAGAAAGGAATGGGAGGGTTGCAGTATCTGGATTCGTTGTCATTTAAACTTATTTACAGATGGACCGAAGCTGAATAGGAAGGTAGGTGGTGGTGTCTTCTGCGAAGAACTCCCATTCAGTCTGAAATTTAGCTTAACGGGTCACTACAGTGACTCCCAAGCTGAGGTGATCGCTAAAAAAGAGGCTACGGATTGGTTGTTCTCTAGTGTAATACCTTTTAAGATGGTGAATATTTATTCCGCGTTTGACGCTGCGCTTCCGCGTTGAACGCTGGCAGAGTGTCTGACTTCCTAAACGACCGCATCAGATTACTTCGTTGTTAAGCTAATTAGGCTTGCAACTCACAGCGAAATCGCTACAAACTGCATAGCCGACGAGCTGCCAAGACAGGGAACCCTTGAGGAACTACTTTCAGATAGAGAAGGTCTGCGAGTTTCCCTGACCTCGTGCGGTTTGCTTCTGGACAGATGGTCGTTTAGTCAGCTCAGCGAACGCTAGGCGAAGAACTTGCAATGCAAAGCGACAAAATCTTTCTGGCTACATGTAGACCGCAGGCGGCGAGCACGGAGCGTTTCTCTTACAAGAATCCATAGGTGTCGTCATTCTCGCTTACCTTTATACCCTTTTCCCTCTCTTAAGGGCATCGCGACGGAAAGCACAGTCGTGTCTAAGTGGGCCCCCATCTAAGGAGGCAGCCTGGTAACCTAACTTAACCTAACCTAGGTTACACGCTGGATTAACCTAATTAATATTTTTGGAATAGAGTTGCCGCCTTTTTCAAAACTTAAAATCAATTAATAAATACTACAAAAATGTAGGTTTCGGATGAAGGTAATCAAAAATTAAATAAAATAGTTTAGAAAGTATTTTTTTAAGAGCATTGCCACATGTTCAAAAAGTTAAAATCAATTTAATTAACAAACTTGAAACAAATGTTTTAATAGGTGCATCAAACGGGAGAGGTTTAAGGAAACGTCATTTCAGAATTATTTTTGAATAGCGTGGCCACCTAGTTAGAAATTCCTAATTGATTTAATTAGCAACCGGAATATAAATTTTGTATATGCACTTCTAAAGATAGAGGTTTATTTCGAAATTAGTTTAGAAGAAGGTTGCCACCTGTTTAGATATTAGAATTCCATTTAATAAACGAGTTCAATTCAATTCAATTCAATTCAATTTTATTAAGTCTATGATTTTTATAAATCTTACAGACTAGCAATGCAAAACTTACAGACTAGAAAAACAAATCTTACAGACTAAAAAGATACATGCGTATGCTATTAAATATAATATGAAGCTAGTATAGAACCAAAACATGACCTCGAAAGTGCGAAATCCAGATCAAGACTACAAAAATTTTTATTAAATTCTGCGAGAGCCCTCGAGATGGGATCAAAATTAAAGTAATTAGCACGGATTATCTTGACATTAAACGGATAATGCGCGCGGAGAGTTCTGCGCGGGACATTAAAATTTATTTGTGCTAAAAGTTCCGGACAGTTAACCAAACCACAGATTAGGTCATAAACAAACATCAGAGTTTGAATAGAACGCCTGGACGCCAGTGACTTCATGCTTATGAGGGCACAACGGGCACTATAAGATGGTAATGGATCAGAGAAGCGAAGCGGTTGAATAGCAAATCTGCTAAAGCTTCTTTGTACTCTTTCAATTCTCTGAGAATGAACAGCATAAATCGG